CAGGCAGGATAGTAGCAGTGCTCCGGACTCTCCTCCAACCTTCATGCACGTGTGAGACAGCTTCTGCTCACACTTCCTCTTCCTCCTCTGCCCTTCTCCTCTGGGAAAGGAAGGACAGAGCGCCACACCTTTCAAGAATTCACACTGACATGGGGCAGAGTGTGGTGCGGTTAGATTTCAGGCCTGGTGGGCTTTTGTTTGCTGGCTTTTCCTTTAGCAGGAGGCACTGACGCCCCTGGGAGGGACAGTTGCAGGTTCTGGAGTTGCGTGTTGACAGGTTGCGGAAGCTCTCTGGTGTCAAGAACCATAGTTTGCAGTCCAGATGATTGTAGTTCCCCTACTGAGAAACCAGACGTGATAAGAGATACTTTTAAAATACATTCACTTTAGCAGCTTCCTTCCAGACGGGTGGGAGGGTAAGAGAGTGTCTTGAGAGGGGGGTCTCCTTTCCTGATGCGTCCTAGTGGCTCCTGTACCTGTTGCCCCCTGTCCCTTCTCTGTCCCTTTCTTTAAGCACCTCACTCTACCAGGATGCTTCCCGCCATCACCTGTGCTTTCCTCTCTCACGTCAGCTTTGAAGGAGAGCTGAGGTCAACACTTGCACATTTTTACAAAGACGATGGGGAACTGCTGCCCTTCCCACCACGTGCATTTTCTCCCTCGCTGTGACCATGCTGTGGGGAAAACGGGCAGGAGGATTGCATGGCTGTGGCAATGTCCTTTCGTAAAATACCTTCCCATTTTTTTTTGTCACGTGGGCAAAATATTTGGGAACTCTTTGTTCACTATCAGAAACATCTGCTCTGGGTCCTTGGCGATGGCCCTCCACAGCATGGTAAGTACCAGCCTGTGACTTAGGAACTGTGTTTTAATGTCCCAAAGTCCATCGTCTGTTACTGATGCCAGCTGAGCCACCATCCATAAAATGTGAATAATAAACTGAACTACTCTGAGGGTAAAGAACAGTCATAAATTCTTCCCGTCGTTTTAAAGTGATGCGCGTATAAATTTATGATAAATTATGGTAGAGACCACAGTGGGAGGAATACATGGGGGTATTTCAGAAGATGGAGTTTGAATTTTGGTTTACCTTGCATGTGACTGGTTTGGTAATTCCCTGGGTGTATGTATGTGTGTGTTGTGTACGTAACACTAAGCCAGTACAGCCCAAGCTTTCCACTGTTAATATCTCCTAATCATGCCCCTTCACACAGACACACATGTGGTGCATGTATTGAAAAGATTCTCTTAATTCAAAACTTTATTTATTTAAGATAAATACATTCTTCAACAAAACAATAACCATTCTCAGACTTGTAAGGTAATAGCTGCTATTAATTTGGTTGTTATAAAAGAGAAACAGAGAAAACCAGTTTAACATTTTTGTTAATCAAGCTAATTTGAGTAAGAGTATGGGCTTAATAAAATAGTCAGCAGAGCATAAATACCTCCCTTTCCTATGTCTGAGGACTTCCAGAAGTTCAAGGGCACCGGACTGGGTAAACTTAGTGAGGTATTTTAAAATCCATCCTTTGAAACAGAGTCTCTAAGCATGTATTTTTAAAAAATCTTTAGGTTACTTATTTTGGGGAATAAGCTACATATGACAGGAATATTTTGGCACAGCCCTAATTTACAATGAGAAACTAACTTTAATTGAATCAAGAGAAAGCCCCTTTCCCGGTGGCCTTTCAGCTCCGAACGTGTCGTCAAACCTTTCTGGCCACATAATTCTCCATCCCTCATGGCTGCTGATCTACAACTCGGACGAGGAGCAGCTTAACACTACATAAACCATTCCAAATACGTTTCCTTAAGTTTTAAAACTTGAGATATGTTATAAATTATTAGATTAAAAAAAAATTAAGTGATACATTTGCACTGCTCATCAATCCCTCATGCCGTTAAATTCTCTGCCAAACCAGGACAGGGTAGAGTGCGTATGTTCGGAAGAAGCCTCGGATCCCAACTTGAAACACGTGCTGACAAATAACATTTCTTTCCCCAGAGACGGGATCTCCAATCACGGCCTCATGCCTTGGATTAGGTAACTCCAAGACACCTCCACCAGGGCAAGCAGGAAAAAGTGTTCCCGGATACAATGGTAAGAAATGACCCTGATAATTTGAAAATATTGAATGCTAATGAATTTGGCATTTTCTTGCAGCTAGTATATATTATATTGGTGCTTAGTATTTGGTTAAATCAATGCTTTGTATTAAAAATGAATACCTTCATTTTTTTTTTGCAGTTTTTGTCCGGGGCTGGGTTAGAACCTGCCACCTCCAGCATATGGGGATGGTGCCCTACTCCTTAGAGTCACAGGCACTGCCCGAATACCTTAATTTTTGCTATTAAAAGTAAAATAGTGTATTTATAGGGATATGTCCTAAATGGCTGACAACCAAAACAAAGTATAATTTATAAGGCATGTTAAAAATATGAGTGCACCATTAGTACATGTGGAACATCTGCTAGGTTCCCAGAACTTCATGTGCGTCCTTTCGTTGACTGCTGAAGTGTATTTGATTCAGAGATGTTGCCATTTTAGAGATCAGTTAACTGAGGAGTCAACAGAGAGGCTGAGTCATTTCCCTCAGGTAACACAGCGGCTTGGATCCTGAGGACAGTGCCAGCCAGCCTGCTTTATTTTCTTTGCTTGCTTTGGTTACAAAAGCTACAGTTTCTTCTGTTACCTGTGCTACTTTTTAATTTGGGAATGGAGGCAAAGCATTGGAATCTTGTTATTTAAAAAATGAGTACAAAGAGTAAAGGTTCTAAGAGAACATATTTCTTCCTTACTGGCTTTATGTGACAAAGAAATGTAATAACCTTTCAATATTGGTTTTTAAATCTGTGGTAGTGACCATAATAATCAAGCAATTTTCTTTGGATTCCACTCTCTGATGGTGTAAACTACACAAATCGTCCAAATTTTCAAACACTAAATATCCATATATTTAAATGGGAGTAATTATTTTATACACTTTGTAAGGCTGCTGTTTTGTGGTGTTACACACAAAGCATTAATACAGTCCTGTCCGTAGAAAGGCTGGAGTAAGTCTTAGATAGTAGTGCTACTAACATTTCATAGAAGCCAGAGGGACTGGCTTGATTTAGACTCACACATTCATTTAACAGACGAGGTAAATGAGATACAGGGGTTATGTAATTTGCTCAAGGTCACACGATTTGGCCAAATAGACTTAGGAAGCCAGCCTAGCTTGGGGGAAAGACTATCATTCCTAACCTATGCTCTCCATTTGCATAGAAATCACAAAATTCAGAGATTTGTCTTTTATTTCTCTAACATAAAAATATTGTATTTTCCTTCTATGACAACAACTAGTTAAGAAAACATGGATCATTTGGTTTCATCTAGCAGATCTGTTTATAAAAGACACTTTAGGTTCTTTATTCAAGGCAGAAAGAGATATTCTGTGAAGTCAGTGATTCCTCCAGCCAGGGAAAGGTGAACCCAGAGTTAGTGAAATCCTCCATTTGAACAATTTGGCCACCCCTGGTCCCTTTATCAGAAAAAAAATGGCTTTTGTGTTGAGACTGATTGTGGGGGATGTTAAACACATCTCCCTTTCGGTGTTTCCATCCTGTTCTTATATCTAGGTGTAAGGAAGAGTTAAGCTTTGATTTCTCATGGAGCTTTCATACAGAAGTTTCTCCTTGTGAGAAAGCCACGGGCTGCAGACAGCACAGGTTAAACATTTATGACCAAGAAAAGAGGGACTTTTTGACTGATGCTCTTCATATTTTGTTGTTAATTCAATATTAAAAACATAACATTTAATATTACGATGCAAAATCAAGATTCTTTGCGGAGAAGAAAAAAAATTCTGTTGGTATAAAAAATATCCCGTATAACAATTTCACATTCATTGAGCACATTTTCAAGCTTATCATTTTATATGCTTAATTGGAGTATTCTTGTATAGATACCATGGGAGGATATAGCTCCCATTTTAAAGGTAGTATAGTAAAACTGAAGGGCTAACAGACCATGCCCAGGGGCATGTAGTAATTTGGCCGCTGTACTAGGATTTGGGGGAAACACAGAGAAATTAGGCCTGGCCTCCACCTTAGTAAACTCACAACATAGTAACATGCAGATATTTACACCTCTGATACTTATGTGAAAATTGTTTTAAAACAAAGTTCTCCAGGAGCACAAAGAAGGGAACGATTAATTTTTTTCTGGGGACACTGTCCTTCCTGTCTCCCAGCTGCTGAAATTTCATTTATCTGGGTGAATGAAGCCACCAAAAAAACTATGAAAGCGTACAAGATGATGACTCATCTTCATATTCCATTTGCCCTAAGGGTTACTGAATGTGGATACAAGCTTGGATCTTCCGATTCAGGGTTTTACAAGGACAGCATGGACAATATTGGCATGATATTTGGGAAGAGTAAATTGACCTAATTTTAAGCTCCTAAGTGAATATGTAATATTAAGCTTTAAATTAGTATAAGGGCTTTTACATGGTTTTCAGTCAATACATTTTATTGGCTACATTTCTGATATGTATTTTTAAACTTTGCCTTCTTCAATTTATGAAAGGCTAAGCAAGTTTCTCATAGTTGAAGGATATATCTAAACATAGATATCTTCATAGATTATGAAGTTACCAGCATGTGGGAAAAATGATGTCCTCCCTTAGGGGAGATTCTTTTTTTTTCTTTTCTTTTTTTTTTTAATTAAATCTTAGCTGTGTACGTTAATGCAGTCATGGGGTACAATGTGCTGGTTTTATATACAATTTGAAATATTTTCATCCAACTGGTTAACATAGCCTTCATGGCATTTTCTTAGTTATTGTGTTTAGACATTTATATCCTACATTTAGTAAGTTTCACATGTACCCCTGTAAGATGCACCACAAAAAGGTGATATTTTAATTGCTATGAGATTATGAACCTATATAAAAAAGCTCAAAATAACTTACAAAAAAATAAAAAGAACAATCTCCCTAGGGGAGATTCTTAAGGAACATTTATGATAATATTAGGAATCAAAGGCATGTTCTCTTTATGTTTTTGTAAGTTATTTTAGCTTTTTTATATAGGTTCATAATCTCATAGCAATTAAAATATTACTTTTGTAAGCTAGAGCAGCCGTTTCTCAAACTGTGGGTCGTGACCCCTTTGTTCCACTTGCGGCAATTAGGAAGATTGAGAACCACTGACTAGAGTGTTTGGAGTTGGATAGAAAATATGGAAAACTGTTTAATCTTATGGTTATGTGTCTTTATTGGAATATTTATTTGTTTATATTTTATTCTATAGTTATGATTTTGGATGACAACATGCAGAAACTGAAGGCTCGGTGTTTTGGAAATATTGTGGTAAAGTAAGCAACACGTTCAATACTAATATTTAAATGAGCAAAATTAGTGCATAATATTAAGAAAAGAATGGAGTAATTGCAATGTTATTAGTAAGGAAGTTGTAGAATGAGTTTTTGTCTTATTTAAGAATTCTGTCAATTCTGTTGTAATTTTTACCTGGAAGCCTCATAAAATACAAAAATTTTAAACCCCTTTTTAAAAAGAGGGAGCTTGGGCAGAGTGCAGTGGCTCATGCCTGTTCTCCTAGCACTCTGTAAGGCCAAAGCCGGCGGAGCTCCTGAGCTCAGGAGTTTGAGATCAGCCTGAGCAAGACTGAGACTCTGTCTCTATTAAAAGTAGGAAAAAATTAGCCTGGCATGATGGGAGGTACCTGTAGTCCCAGCTACTCGAGAGGCTGAGGCAAGAGGATCACTTGAGCCCAAGAGTTTGAGGTTGCTACGAGCTATGATGCCACAGCACTCAACATAGGGAGACAGAGTAAGACTCTGTCTCAAAAAGAAAAAACATAGAAGATAAAGCTTCAATCTTTCTAAATAACTTTTTCTGATTATACAAGTAATGTATAGATGCTAAAAGTAACTTGTGTACAAAGAAATGTAAACAAATGAAGTTAATAGACCCCTACTCCTCAGAAATATCCTGCTAATATTGTAATCTGTAGGACTTTCCACTTTTTGAGAAGCATTCTACATTTCTAAATGAGTTCAGTTTCTTTCTCTTTTTCTGCATTGTGGTTTTCTTGTAAACCCTAGCTCAGGAGTGTATTTAATTTTTACTCTGTCCCTTAAAATTTGTTTTCCCTAGACGTCTTAGTATTTTTTGAATTTTTATGATTATAAATAATACTGTGTTGAACATCTTTTCTTTGTCTTTTCCTCTTCTCTGATAAGGTATTGAACATCTTTTTTTTTTTTCCTTTTCCTCTTCTCTGCTATGGTATTAAATAGATTTCCAAAACAATGATTACTGAGTCGAACAGTACCGTAGTAGAAAGGTCTCAACTCACCGTAAGACACATGCCTTATTAACACTTTTTTTGTCATTGTTCATTTGAAAGGCAAACGTCCTAAAATATGAATTGAAAATATTTAAATTTACTCAGATTAAATCAGTACATGGACCATGAACCTGTTATGGTAGTGGAAACTGAAATGGAAGTTCATTTACTTGGGAGGCACAAACGTGTGATATTTTAGTAATTGATGGAGTTTGATTGAGGGCCTTTGATTAGGATGATGTGGGCATCTTCACCAACAGGGTTTAAATAAAAGGTTCCTCAGAATGAGCTGCCATGAATAAAAAACATTATGTGTCAGTTTTTAAAAAGATTTTTATACATGTATTTCTCTCAAAAAACCAAAAGAATGCATGTTCCCTGGCATCCTCATATTGGCATAAGGTTGCCTCCTGTTAATAAAGTATCTTAAACCTTTGAAAATTACATGAAACGTGGTAGTTAGAAAAAAAATGTTTCTTCAGGTAGAGATATTTTAATTTACAAAAAGCTACTAGGAGAGGTACAGATTATGATGCCATTTGTCTCATGCTCTTACACTGTCAGTAACCATGTAAGGACTCTATTACTTTTTAAAAAGTTTCAATTTTAAGACAATATAGCTAAGAAAAAGGGAAAATTAAATGTTGACTATATCATTTTTATTTGTATTTGTCTGAATCAGAATCCATTTTAACACAGAGCTGGTTCCAATTTGACCCATTTGAGGAAATAACAGCAGAGGAAAGGGGAGGGCTTGCTAAAGAAATTAGTAATATGAACATGGACGGGATGGATATTTAGCTTGCTTAGGGAATCACATGTTTTTGAAGAGCTTTCAATGCACGGTGGCAGCATACATTTTCATAGAACCTCCTGACTGTGTGAATCATCCATTTCATAAAACTCTTGCAAGATCCTAGGGGTGGCATTTGATGCCAGACCAGTTTTAAACTCCTCATGGGTTCTGTTCCTCTAATTATAGATGGTTTTGCCCCACATCCTTTCTGAGATAGCAAAACATAGCAGTGTCCCACACAAACTATTTTTTTCTTAGAGCCATTAATGTTATGTCAAGTTAGATGAAATTAACACAACTACTGTCTTAAAGAGTTCTATGGTTTAGTTTGTCATCAATTCAGAATGGTGTTTTTCCCTCTGTGTTTCCTAAGCAGGGAATTTTCGGGTACAGATCTCCAGGGTTCTGAGATTTCATTATAAATTACCTGAGAAGGCAAAGAGGGGAACGTGATTCCACCCTTAGGTTAAGAGTGAAACTAGATATTTGAAAATTATTGTATTGGAAACATTAAGTAACAATAATCAGAATAAAAAAGGGTAACCACCAAGATCGATTAATCCCTCTCTCTCTGTGTCTGCCTTTGGAGGGGAGGTGACTCATTTTTATCTACGTGAGCAAGAATTTTATTTTGAAATCCACATGGCCAGAAGCCATTCCACTCTCACTCATTAGCCTCAACGCTATTCTTACATCCCAGTGGCTGCCCACAGTCTGTGTGGGATGTTCTCATAGTTAACACCCATCTGACAGTAAGACTTGTTTGTGTAGGTCTATATTTAGAAATAGTGATATGTGGAAACAAGTAATTAAAAAAAATTAAAATCCTCCCAATGCACCTAGATTTTCCCACCTTCTTTGTTACAGCATTCTGGAAATCGCTGCTTTTCTGTCCTGGGAAACTTTTCTACTAGAAGATACACATTTTACTAATTCCTAAACTGCTAGGGGCCATGGGATATAATAAAAAGGAATCCTGCAGTTTTACTTTTTTAGTAGATTACTTGCATTCAGAGAATTTACCTTTCTAGTAGGAAACTTCATATCCACATGGATGATAGAAAATTCTTTTGATTTTGAAACCTACTCCAAGGCAGTTAATTTGGAGGGATAGCTGTGGTATCTCCATTGCCGTGAATTCAGAATGCTCATGAATTTTAGAACGTGCTCCTGTAATTGCATCCAGAGCTCCAAAGTGCAGAAATGAAACTATGAGTCAGTAATTTCCAGGCAACAAAGAGCAGGGCATGAAAGAAAATTTTAACTGCAATTGCTTTCCTCCATACCACAGTGCTCACTGTTATTAAAACCATTGCTCTCCGGCGCTTTCTCTCTGGTCGGCATACATTCTTCTCTGACCAGATCCATCCTTGCTATTCCAAGTGTGGTTGCTGGTCGTGTTGTGTCTCCTGACCTGTCCCCTGCGGGCCATGGTGGGGGACAACACAGCTGTATGTAATTGCCTGAGTGGCTTTTACGTTCACACCTGCCAATTTCTCCTTCTTCAGATCTAGAAGTCTTGGTCTTTAATGACGTTTGATCCCATTTTTATAGCTTCACAGAAGCGAGTCCCTCACTGCGCTGCTATCTTTGGAAAGGACCAGGGCAGCTTTGTTTTGACCAGGGCATCTTTGGAGGAAAACCAAGATGTCACATAATCATATAATCCTGTTCCTTTCTAAACGTGTTATGCAGATTTTAGTATGACCTCTGATTCACATCGTAACAACACTGTGAAGTAGGCCTGGGACAGATACTGCCCTCGTTTTAGGAGCTGAGCATCATTAGCAGTTAGTCACAGAGCTACAACTCACACGTTACTCAGCTCAGTCTGTTGTCTGTCCCAGCAAAAAGAAGTTATTGCCCGGTCAGTCTCTTCTGGGGAGATGAAAAGTAACTGCTTCTGACATGTCCAGTGCTTGTAAAGCCTAAGGACCCCACTGGAAATATTTGGGGGTGCAAGGGTGGGAATGAGCTCCAGAGTTCTCTAGGAAACACGAGTTATGTCTTCAATTTATTTCAGTTGTTGTGAACGTTCCTCATGGAAGGCATCTAGAGGTTTTATATTTCATATTGGTCAGGAAGGTGCCATGGTCTTGGATGACGGGCATCCTCTTCCTGCCCCAGCTGTTTCAGGGTTTCTCATCACGCCGATGCCCCCTCCTACACAGGAGTCCCTGCCACCTCCGTCACTCCTCTTCCCACTTGAGAATGGTCTCCGGGAAGCATGTTCTGTGGAAGGAACTCCTGACTGACTAACCTCGGAGGAGTTACAAGAAACACTCTATTAAAAGAAAACCAAATACAAAAGAAGTAGCCTGTTTACTGTGCTTGGAAGACTGGGGGAGATGTCGCCGGGTGATAGAAATTTGATTTCAAATTTGAAGGATGCGTATACGCCTTAACCAGGACATTCCTTAGTACTTTTGTTCCTTTCTTTCTTTTCCCAGTTCAATACATTTTTATATTATTGTAACTATGGGAAAATAGTATATTTTTTATAATTTCAGGAAATAAGCCCAGTGCACCCACTATTCCAGGAGGAAGGCGTGCACTTAATGTGGAATGATCCTTAGGATAACAGGAGGGGGAAAGGTATGAATGTGGATTCCGGCAGGAAGTCAGTCTACTCTAGCTCAGACGCACCTGTCTTCTTCCTCTCTCAGTCGCTGTTCTTCTCAGGTTTCCTTGTGTTGATCACCTTTCCTCTTCTCTCTCTCTCTCTCTCACACACACACACACACACACTGTAGTGCCCCGATACCTGCAGCTTTCCTCTTCATAGTTTCAGCTGTCTGTGGTCAATCATAGCCCAAAATTATTAAATGGAAAATTACAGAAAGGGACACTTTGTAAGCTTTAAACTACTTGCCATTCTGAGCAGTGTGAAAATCTTGCACTGTTCTTCCCAGACTGTGAATAATCCCTTTGTCCGATGCAACTACACTGCGGACACTATCCGTCCCTGAGTCAATGAGCGGCCTTCTCAGTTATCACATCTACTGTTGGGAGATCATAGTGCTTATGTTCAAGTTACCCTTATTTTACTTCATAACAGTTCCAAAGCACAAGAGTAGGGATTCTACAGGTTGTTGTAATTGTTCCCTTTTGTTAGTTATTGCTATTGATATCTTACTCTGTGATGTATGTGTAAGAAAAAACAATCTATGTAGGGCTCAGTGCTATCCGCGGGTTCAGGCAGCTTGGAACAGATTCCCTATGCACAAGGGAGAACTCCTGTGCGTGTGTCTGTGTGTATGTGATCCCAAAAGCTTCTAATTCTGAAATTCTTTTTTATTTTCTGCTTTTCTTTGGGAGCCTTATGTGGCTTCTCCTAGGAGGTCCCTCCTTAAAGACACTTTTCAATATTCTAAATTATAGCAGTTGAGTTTTAAAGATACCACACCTTGTCAAAGAACAGAAAGTATTCCCCTATCTTATCCTATCAATTACGGATTGCAATCTCATATCTTGTTTTCCAGCCTGATCCTCAGTTAGAGCTGTGAATAATGAAGAAGTTTTAGGAGAGCATCTCAAAAATGATTTGAACAAACACATATGCCATGTCTAATAGTTCCGCACCTTGAGTAGGGATAAAATCGTCTCTTCCCAGGGCTTCTGGCAGTGCAGAGTTTAACCACTCGCTATAAAATTTGCCTGATGAACATCTTGAATGCTTAAATTTGATGCTATTACATTAACTTAATGAAATAGACATCATTCATGGCAGTCTCCCTTCCTGTCCGTATTCCAAAAATACTAAATAATCATGTTTCACAGTGTGCCGGGATCTTTATGTGTCTAGGACCATAATTTATATCTTTGCACCATTAATATACCCAGCACGCTGACTGAGGAATACCAAGCATCCAATGAATATCGATGGAGTAGAGAAAATTAATGTATGTGTTAATGTATAAATAAACAAATTGATGCATGAAAAGTAAAGTCATCTCGTAACCCTGGTGTTTTCTTCTCTGCCTTTCACCTTCCATCTTTCTTGACTGGCTACTCCCACCCGAATCTTTTCTATACTAAATGACCCTGCGTTTTTTGCATCAAACACCTGACAAGTATCTCTTCTCCCAGTCACATGCAAAATTTTGAAAGTATGCTCTAACCTTACTGCCTCTCAGATTACTGCCTGTGTCCTCCTTAATCCCTCCGATTACTGCTTGCTCTGCTCTCTAGAAATGACAACCCTGAGACAGCTCGAAGCATCCTAGTTACTAAGTGGTTAATTCACTTTCACGGTTTGCCCTTCATTTGACCTTGTGAAACACTTTCCTCTTTTGGTTCCGTGGTCTTTTTTGTTGATCCTTCTTTGACACTGACGCTAACACGTTTATACTCTCTCCTTGAATCACGTCACCTACTTCTGAGATTTCCATAATCGCCTATCTACACATAGTGAGCATAGCGGTATGTCCGCCCAAACTTTTCTCCCTCCTGATTTTCCGACATGTTTTTATTGACGTCTTAGTTGATAGCTCCAGCTAAGATAACACAAGTTCCTAAATTCAATATCCAAGCCAAATTCTGCATCTTCTCTTTATTTCCTCGATCTCCAATGTGACACTTCTCCCGAGAGTATTGCTTTTTATGACATTCTGTTCTTTGTGGTGGCAAAACTATTGACCCAGAATGGAAAGTTTAGAGCCAGCGTCAATTCCTCTCTCTTCTTCCCCTCTCACGTTCAATTTCCATCCGTCATCATAGTTTTTGTTTATCCAGTTCATCACACGAGCTTCTGCCTTGTTCCAGAACAAAGATATGATAAGAGCTTTTCCTTTTCAATTAAAAAAATAACTTTGAAAACTCAGCATATCCCATGACTAATGGGGGTCCTCAGAGAAACAGAACCGGATGAGATATAGCTGAGAAGGCTACTCCCTGGAAGGAGTACAGGGAGTGTGAAATGTCCTTATATTTTACAGTGTCTATATTTTCAAGCTGTAAAGTATCTAAAAGGTTTCTGAGTCCAGAAAACAATTGGGTGCTAGCTTTGTTAGTAGGCATTCTCTATAGGAATCAATATGAGAATTTCTTTTATTAGTATAACCATAGGTGAATGGATGGTGGTCCTTGCCCTGTGCACGACACCTGTTTGACCCTGTGACAGAAAGAAGACAGTCTGGGAGAAGTCAGCTGGAGGGCCAGATGCAGCGTTCCTTATATTTTCTATGCTTAAGTATTTCTCTGTGTTCATAGAAGGGAGAAATCACATAGGTCAGGGTGGTCACGAGCAGACATCATAGAAGAGGGACTAGAAGGAATTCCCGTGGGAGGGTGGCACACTGATTGTGAAGACTGTACAGTGGGTCTCTAATCTAATGAAATATTTCATTCCACAAAGAGACGGGCAACTTCAAAACGTGACTTCTCTTTCTATGGTGAAGGGAGAGTTTTCTTAAAAAGTACTTCAATGATGCATGTTTATTCTTTTCGTAGATATGCTTTTTATGCTTCTCATTGAAATGACGATTATTGCTAATAACTATTTAAATATCAAATATGTGCACCTTCCAGAAACTCCAGTCACTCTTTAATAATTCTGCTGGGCAGTGGTCAACTATTTACTCCTCAGTTAGACATGATCTGGCCAGCAGGCTTAGGGGTTACATTTTAATGTGAGATCTAAGTTATAATTATGCATCACACTGGAATAATGATTCTAATCGATGTTTTATTTCTGCTTCCATGATGCTTTTAACTGTTCTCTTTTTACACAAGGTTGCCGTTACCACCTGGGGCTTTTTCAGGACTGTGGAAGAATCAGGAAGCGTTCAAGCATTTATACTTTGAAAAATTTCCTGTAAGAACTTTATTTAATATCCTTTTGTATCTCTTATGTATTTTTCTACTGCTCTTTCCTGTAAAATTGAGAAAATTGCTTCTAGAATAATAGATCAAAAAGAAACGTTCAAAGGTTGTCTGGACTAGTTCCCAGCTCTCAGGGATAAGAATGCCCACCAAATCATAATTATCTAAATAAATTGTATTATCAGTCTCTGGACATAGATATTTCTTAGTTTTTCTTAGCAGTTTTCCTAAAATTTAATAGTCCTCAGTCTGAGAACATTTTTGTTAATTTTTTTTTTATTTTCTATATTATTTCCTTTATGGGACTCCTCTGTACTCACTGATAGCAACTAATCAGAATTGCACAATGTCATGGAGATCCCTTAACCTCCTTTTTTCCTGGCTACGTGAATGGACTTCATTCAGCCTTCCCGGGAGTTGTATTCTTCCATCTCTTTATCTATTTTTTAATTTTTTTCCCTGAATATTCTCTGAGCTCCTTATTTAAAATTCCAGTTAAAAAATACCGATACAGGATAGAAGCAGTGCTTTCAAAGCCTTCCCTCTAGAGCAGTGATTCTCAACCTTCCTAAAACCACAATGTATTTTCTTTCTTTTTTTTTTTTCTTTATTAAATGTTAGCTGTGTACATTAATGCATTCATGCAGTACAGTGTGATGTTTTCGTATACAATTTGAATTATTTTCATCAAACTGGTTAACATAGCTTTTATGTCATTTTCTTAGTTATTGTGTTAAGACGTTTATATTCTACTTTTAGAAAGATTCACTTGTACCCTTGAAAGATAAACCATAGAGATGATCCCTCCAATCCCCTCCCTCCACCCATCCACCCCCTCCCCTCCCCTCCCCTCACCCCTCTCCTCCCGTCCTCCCTCTCCTCTCCTCTCCTCCCCCTCCCCATATTCTTAGGCTATAATTAGGTTATAGCTTTCATATGAAAGCTATAAATTAGTTTCATAATAGGGATGTGTACATTGGATACTTTTTCTTCCATTCTTGTGATACTTTGCTAAGAACATTTTCCAGCTCCTTCCATGTAAACCAGCATCCCTTCATGATCAGAACACTTAAGAAAATTGCTATAGAAGGGACATTTCTTAAACTGATAGAGGCCATCTACAGCAAGCCGCAATGTATTTTCATTGTTAAAAAGGGATCACGACCCACAGTTGAGAACCGCTGCTCTAGAACTGGGTAACAGAGTCTTTCTGTTCCATGTTTCATCACTGGCTTGTTACCTCTTGCTGGGGTGATGTGGGTTGTGCTCATAACAGCACCACGTTGATGACCCGTGTCAGGGTCGTACCGTCATCATTCTGTGGTCCTTTCACTCTGCTTCTTTCTCCCAGAATGATACCTGGTACTCACTATGCACTAAATACAAAAGAACAGTCAGAATTTTGTTAGAAAAGTTTGTCCAAGTATCTAGCATTCTATCTTTATTATTTGTGAGTGAGACACAATAACCTAATCAACTAGGCAAATGATAAGACTTGAGAAAAAGAGGTCAGAGTTGAATGATCTCAGTCGTCAAGATTAAACATGCCCCTGATAGACTGTGGCAGGGGAAACTTTTCAGTGCGGTTGACTTTAGTCAGCTCAACCTATCTGCCTGATGGGCCACAGTTAAATCATTAGAGTATAAGTAATGATAAGACTAATTATAATCTTATAGTAACAAATGGCTTGCACGTGGTTTCAACATGATCACCTTTAAAATGGAAAGCTCCCTCAAAACCCAGGTTATGGTTAAACTAAACAAGTGACTCTACACTCTGCCTTGTGACTTTATGTGAACCCTCTGATCTGAGAGTTTAGTAACAACAGAAGAACTGAGCAATCTGATGAGAATTCACAGAGGTTAGAGTTGACAGAGCTGAGATTGGAATGCTAATAGGTTCCGGAGTTCATGCTTTTAACTACTAACTAGTCTAGGTTGCTTGTCCAATAGTAATGTTAGTAGTAAGCCCAGTAAAAGCTGCCAGTTATTAAGGGCTTGTGGTGGGTCAGGTTCTGTCCGCTGTGCTTCATATACACTGTTTCATGTGTAATTTGCAGGAGCTTATATGGCAGAACTCATTACCCCATTTAATTGATGAGGATCCTGAGTCTCAGAAAATTTAAAACCTACAAAGAGTTATTTTTCAGGATTTGTACTAAACATAGGTATCAAGATAACTCAGAGACATTAAAGAAAGTAATAGTTCTCTGCTTTTATTTGTTATTTTTCTTGAGTTTTCATTTTATGATGATTTGAGGGCTGGCAACGATGTGCAACTTTGAATTGGCCAAAAATTGCATTTCATACTTTCCATTAAATTTCACTGAAGCTTGCGTCTAATCCTAACCCATGATACAGCCATTATTCTATTTTGTAATTATTCACAGGGTGCTTTAAAGCTTTTAAAATTTATTAAGATTAAAGAAGAAACCTATCAAAGAATTACTTTGTAATACCAAAGTATATTAAAAATATTGAGCTATTATCTCTCCATTAAAAAAAGGAATTCGGTTCATAAACGTCTCTAAATTCAAACACTTTACTTGAACATATGTAAAAACATTTTAATTTCTTCTGTTAGAGGAGCAAAGAGATTCTAATAAATTTTCAAAATAAAAAGTAATTTAATTTCATGGTCTAATTATGAAAAATGTCAAATGCATACAGCAAATCTATTTCTATCATATACCATACTTTACTATATTTAAAAATAATTACATGCTAACAAACCATCACTTATTCTTGTTTCCAGGGATATTATGATACAATGGATGCTGGCTACATGGATGAAGAAGGCTATTTATATGTTATGTCTCGAGTCGATGATGTAATAAATGTGGCAGGTCACAGGATTTCTGCAGGTGCCATTGAAGAGGTATTGAATATTGGTATTCTAATCTACGCGTGGTAGCTCACACCTGTAATCTTAGCACTCTGGGAGGCTGAGGCAGAGAAGATTGCTTCAGGTCAGAAGTTCAAGACCAGCCTGAGCACGAGCAAGACCCCTGTCTCTCCTAAAAATGGAAAAATTAGCCAGGTATAGTGACTCACATTTGTGGTCCCAGCTATTCAGGAGGCTGAGACGGGGGATTGCTTGAGCCCAGGAGTAGGAGGTTACTGTGAGCTAGGCTGCAACCGGGGCACTCTAGCCAGGAGACAGAGCAAGACACTGTTTCAAAGAAGGAAAAAAACCAAAAACAAACAAACAAACAAAAAGGTATTCTATTCCAAGTTAAGTCCTTCCACCTGTAAAATTACCACGTCTTCATCTGTAGCAGAGGCTAGGTTACTTTTTTTTTTGCAGTTTTTGGCTGGGGCTGTGTTTGAACCCACCACCTCTAGCATATGGAGCTGGTGCCCCACTCCTTTGAGCCACAGGTGCTGCCTGATGCTAGGTTACTTTTATAGCTCTTTCACCTCCCTTCCTCTTGTGTAAATTGTCCCCCATTCCTGAGCGGGTGATAGTGCAGAGTTTCAAGCACTCACATACATTTGTTCTTATGACTGAGCCTAGGAGACATTGCCTACTAATTCTAGCTACTCGATTGCCTCTAGTTTCTTGATTTCCTCCTGCTCAATAATCAGATTTATATATGGTCTTTAAGGGGTATGAGATTTAAACACTTCATTACACTCTTAATCCTGAGAATTTTCTCCCAATGTTAATTACATAAAGTCGTCAGAAGATGTATTTTAGTGTTAAACGTTTCAAAAATTTACCTAAAGCTAAGTCTCCTTTGTGGTTGTACGCTATAAGCATAGATTGTTGTAACCATAACCAGAAAAAGAATACAGAACAGTGTCAACACTGACAAAGAATTATTTCATAATACATGGGTCGCTATGCAAGTTTTGAGACAGACTGTGTCGTGGTCCATCATTTCACTTCCAAGAACACGGTGACAGTGTCCTTTTTATTTGCTGCTGCAAGTTTCAGCTTGCTTTGGTTATTGGTGTTGCCGGGAGGGCTTCATTTGTTTTGCCTGTGCAGATTTTAACATCTCTTGATTTCTGTGTATCTCAAACTTTCCTAATGACCCACATATCACCTTTGTGTCTTGACCTTAGAAACCTCTTATTTTTCTGTTTCCATGTTTTGTCTTTTCAAAAATTTATTATAAATGGATTATACACGTACAATATGTGACCTGTGGGTTACTTCATTTAGGAAAATGCCTTTGTGATCCATCCAAATTGTCGCGTATGTAGTTTGTTCTTTTATGTTGCTGTGCAGTATTCCCTTGTATGAATGTAATGAGTTTAGGGTTAGGTTCACCCATTGAAGAACATGTGTTCTTCCTAAGTTAGTGCAGTTATAGATAATGCTGTTACGTACATTCAAGTACAGGCTTTGGGGAAAACTGTTTTCATTTGTCTAGGATAAATCCCTCTAGTGGAGTCGCTGGGTTACATGGCAAGGGTACGTTTAAGGTTATGAATATCTACCAAGCTCTTCCAGAGTGTCTGTGCTACTTCATAGGCCCACCAACAATGTTGAGATTTCCAATTTTTCCCATCTTTACAGAAGTTGGTAGTGTCATTACTCTTTATTTAAAACATTATCATAGATGTGTAATTGTATCTCAATGTGGTTTTAACTCTCCTTTCTGTAATAAATGATGTTGACTAACTTTTGACATGTTTATTTGCCATCCGTATGTTCTTTGGTTAGATATCTGTTAGAAGCTTTTTCCATATTTTTTAATTCTTCTATTTTTCAGTTTTGAGAGTTCTTTATATTTTCTCGATATCAGTCCTTTATTTAATTTACAGTTTACAAATATTTTCTTCTAGATTGTGGCTGGACTTTTGGTTAAAAATGCCCTTCACAGAACAAAAATGTTTTACACTTGTTGAAGTCTCATCCACCATTTTTAACAGATCGTGATTTTGGTGTTATCTAAGAACTCTTTTTTAATCCAAGGTCACACAGGTTTCTCTTTGTTTTTATCTAAGAGTTTTATAGTTTTACATTTTATTTTAAATTTACGTCTGGGTAGGTTAAGGGAGTTTTTTTTTAATGGATGGCAATTTTTCTAGCATCGTTTGTTGAAAAGACTGCCCTCAATTCTTCATTGAATTGCCTTTTCATCTTTGTCAAAAATTAGCTGACTATATTGAAGTGGGTCTGCTTTTAGAGTATCTTGTCTGTGTCTTTGATTTATATGTTTATCTTTTCATCAATACTCTACTACTATAGCTTTAGAATACATCTTAAAGTGAAATAGTGAGTCCTCCATATCTGCCCTTCTCTGTCAATACTGCTTTGGCTGTGTAGTTCCCTTTATTTTTTTCTCACATTTTTTTAAAAATAAGCTTTTCTATAGCTACAATGAATCCATGCATAAATTTTGGTTGAGATTATATTATATCTAGAGGTTGATTAGAAAAAAATTGATATTTTCACCACATTGAGTCTTCCAATTCATGAATTTTGTATATTTCTTCTTTTGTTTCAGTCTTGCTTGATAAATTTCATCAATATTTTGTGCTTTTTAGCACAGAGGCTCTTAATAACTTTAGTTAGACTTACACTAAGGTATTTGATTTTTTAGTTATCACAAATAGTATTTTTAAAAATTTTCATTTCCAAATATTCATTGCTATTGAATAGAAATACTATTGACTTTTTTTTTTTTTTTTTTTTTTGCAGTTTTTGGCTGGGGTCGGGTTTGAACCTGCCACCTCCCGTATATGGGACTGGCTCCCTACTCCTTTGAACCACCAGTGCTGCCCAACTAGTGACTTTTATATACTGATATGTAAAACTTGTTTATTAGTTCTAGCAGTTTTTTGGGTAGATTCATTGAGATTTTCTTTGTAAATAATTCTGCTTTCTGGGAATAATGACAGTTTAATTACTTTCCAACCTGAATGTCTTTCATGTTTTTTCTTGCCTTTTTAAACTGGCTGGAACTTCAGGTAGGATACTAAATAAGAGTGATGAGAATAGAAACCCTGGTCTTGCTCCTGATCTTAGGCTAAAAGCATTCAATGTGTTGTGATTAAAATGATATTAACTGTAAGAGTTTCTAAAGATAGCATTTATCAAATCGAGACAGTTTCCTTCCATTAATAATTTGCTAAAGTGCTTTTTTTAAATATTTTGGAATAACTGTTGAATTTGTGAAGTATTTTTTCTGTCAAGTGTATTGATAAGATCATGTGCTTTTTAAGCGTTTTATGTGAGTTATATTAATGAATTTTCAACTGTTGAACCAGTGTTGTGTTCCTGAATTAAGCCTTACTTGGTTGCAATGAATTAATATTTTTATACTAATTTTATAATATTTTTATATGTTGATCATTTAAATCAATAGTAATTGTCCTTCTTCTGAAGTCTACTGTGTATGGTAATCAAATAGCCACTCCATCTTTTTTTAATAGTATTTGAATCATTTATCTTTTTCCATCATTTCATTATTGATCTATTTGATTATATTTCATGTAAGTTTCTTTCTTTCTTTCTTTCTCTTTTCTTTTTTTTCTTTTTTGAGACAGAGTCTTACTTTGTTGCCCTCCATAGAGTGCTGTGGTGTCAGCAACCTCAAAGTCTTAAGCTCAAATGATTCTCTTGCCTCACTCTCCCAAGTACCTGGGACTCTAGGTGCCCACTATAATGCCAGGCTATTTTTAGAGAAGAGGTCTCGCTCTGCCTCAGACTGGTCTCCAACTGGTGAACTCAGGTGATCCACTCAGCGTGGCCTCCCAGAGTGTTAGGATTACAAGCACGAGCCACTGTGCCCAGCCAAGTTCTTATTTATTTATTTATTTATTATTTAATTTAATTTTTTATTAAAGCATAACCATATACACATATGGGATACAATGTGCTGATTTGATATACAATGTGGAATGCTTAAATCAAACTGATTAACATAACCATCACCTCACTTATTGTGGTAAGACACATATAAATTACTTTTAGTTATTTTGACATGTACCCTTGCATTATGCACATTAGGTAAGATCCCACCAAATACTCTCCCTCCCCCCACCAATTGCCCTCTTCTCCCCCCCTCTTCCTTCCCTCTTGCTAAACTATATTTGTGTCATATCATTCATATGAACGTGTAACTGTTTATATATTGGTTTCAAAATAATATTGAGTACACTGGATACTTTTTTCTCCTGTTCTTCAGATACTTTACTGAGAAGGATATGTTCCAACTCCATCCATGTAAACATAAATATATAAAGTCTCCATCTGTTTTTGTGGCTGTATAGTATTCTGTGGTGTACATATACCACAATTTATTAATCCATTCATGGATTGATGGGCATTTGGGCTGCTTCCATGGCTTGGCAATTATGAATTGGGCTGCAGTAAATGTTCTGGTATAAATGTCTTTGTGGTAAAACACTTTTTGTTCTTCGGATTAAATAACTAGTAATAGAATTGTTGGATCCACTGCTTTTTGTTCTTCGGAGTAAATAACTAGTAACAGAATTGTTGGATCCATTTTTAATTCTTTAAGGATTCTTCATACTTCTTTCCATAAAAGTCTGTGTTAGTTTGCAATCCTAGCAGTATGGCAGTATTCCCTTCTCTCCACATCCACACTAGCATCTGCAGTTTTGGGACTTTGTGATATGGGCTGTTCTTGCTGGGGGTAGGTGATATCTCAAAGTGATTTTGATTTGAATTTCTCTGATAATTAAAGACAACGGGGACAGAGGAGGTCAAACTCTCTCTCTCTATGGATGACATGAACTTATACCTGGAAAATTCCAGGGACTCAACTACAAAAGTCTTAGAAGTGATCAAGGAATATAGCAGTGGGATACAAAAACAATACCTACAGATCAGTATATTTTATATATACCAACAACAGTCAAGCCAAAAATATAGTAAAGGGCTCTATTCCTTTTACA